TTTTTTTTTTTTTTTTTTTTTTGGTACTGAGGATTGAACTCGGGTCTTTGTGTTTACAAGGCAGGCAGCAGTACTACTGAGCTAAATCCCTGGCCCAAAGAGAAATGACTTTTTTTTTTTTTTTTCGGTACCAGGGATCAAACTCGGGACCTTACACTTGTGAAGCAGGCAGTGGCACCACTGAGCTAAATACCCAGCCCCTTCCTCCCTTTCTTTCTTTTTCTACCTTCCTCCCTCCATCTGTCCCTCTTTTTTCCTTTCTTTGATAATAAGGTATATTTATAACACAAACCTATTTCCTTTAGCTTTGAGTCCACAAATGCCTCTTTTAAAAAGAGATTAATTTTTCAATAAACAGTGTATAAGTATATCAACGAATACTTACATATGTCATTTAACGACCAATGAGTAGCATCAGATTTAATTATCCCATCTGTATTTAGAGCTTCCACTACAATGATACAATTAGCTGGAGCTGCTATAATTTGATGCAAAAAAGAGCATGAAGCACCTGTAGAGCTGTTGGATGTACACGTGTAATTTTTTTTGCTTCCTCCACTTTTACTTTAAAGAAAAAAATGATTCAGCATAAATTTAGTATAGTAACTTGAAACATATCCTACTTAATTCATTAAAACAGTATTTGTTAGTTTTATTCAGAGTTTCTCTGGAGAACTGCATGGTCCAGGATTTGGTTTCGCGCTCCTCCAAAAAGAGGTAAAATTTCCTGCTTCCTTCCTGCATAGGATGCTATGCGCCCTGGAGACTTCCTGAAGGTCCTGTATACCCATTAAAAGCAATGTGGAAATACACTTCTTACTGACAAAAATATAATAGATTAGCTCCTAAAAATCTAGAATATGGCCTTGAGAATTTATTCTTTTAAAAAAATTAAACAGCATTTGTTAAGTAAAGTATGATAGAAATCAACAGGATTTAAAATGATGTTTTTAATATATCTATGTTTATTGATATGGAAAGATGATCATACTCCATTGGTGAAAAGGTCAGGGTGCATATCATATACAGAATAATCAGTTATATCAACATATATTTGTATAACTAGTCATACAGATACTGGAAAGGTCTTTACATAGACGTTAACGTTGTTATCTTAAATCAGTGGTGGTGAACCTTTTAGAGACTGCCACCCAAAACCCACTTATTTATCTTCCAACATTGCAACTGAACCTGAGGTTTTAGTTTAGGCAAAAACAACTCCTGCATTAACATTTGTTTAAACAAAACACACACACACACAGTAATACACATTCGATAGTTTCACCACCATTGCCTAAGATGTTTCAGATTGAATTTTTTAATCATTAATATAGACTGTTTTCAGAAAACTCATTAAGATGATAGGTAGATAGATAGATAGATAGATAGATAGATAGATAGATAGATAGATAGATAGATAGGATAGATAGGCAGGCAGGCAAACTGACTCTATGAAGGCTATATAAATTAGAAGGAAGCAGATGAATGAGTATGGCTATAACCTACATGCCCTGAGGATTGTGGAGGAGATGGAGCCAGAACTAAACTAAAAAGAAGGTTTAAATGTTAAGGTTCCAGTGTTTGCTATAATGGGTGGGGGAACAGAGCTTAGACAATTGAATCTTAAAACTAGAAAGGACCTCAAGGATTTCCAATAGGTTATTACCCAGTGCAAAAATGACCCCCAGGGTGCTGTTTAGTCATGGTTATAGGCACAGGTTCTGTAGGTAAATTAATTAGGTTTACCCCTGGTATGTGACTTAAATTCCTTAATTCTTTTAGTGTTTTATATGTAAAATGAAGATAGTAATATGCATATAGTTTAGGGTTGCTATGACAATGAAATGAGCTAGTACATGTAAAGCACTTTTCAAATGTCAGATACACAGAAGTTAATCAATGAGGAATTATATTATTATTACTATAGTTTAATATTTTTGCATTTATTTATGCTCTAACCTCTGAGATAGACCCTTTCTCCCCTTTTCCACATCTCAAGACTTCTTTAAGTCTCAGTTTAAAAGCCCCCCCTTTCCATGAGGACATTCCCAACTCCTCTTTTTCTTCCAAAGATAAACCCATTTTCATTGTTTCTGTGTATCAGTAGGTTATTTTTGCTTATATCACTGATCCACCAACCATAATATGCACTTATAGTTGACTATCTGTAGGGAAAGCCTTCCATTTTGCCTGGAAGAGTTATTTTTAGTGCTAAACCCACAATGCAAGCAATTTAGGAATCCTGTCGAGCCTAGCAAACTAGGGCCATAAGGGGCCTGGGTGTAGGCATGGGGACATCCAAGGATTTTCTGTTCCTGCATGTACAACTGGTGCTAATAATAACAACCCACACAGAGAGATGGAAGGGGAGGTATTCCTCAATAAAACAGAAAAATAGGGAGTAAATCTAAAGTTTCTGCATTTTTATTCTACCAGTAACTCCTGACTAACACTATGGCTAGAATTAAGAAGTCTGGGAGATCACATGTCATTTAGATCATGGGTTTTTGAGCCATTAGCATTCTTAATTTCTAAAGCAAAAGTGGACAAACTATAGCCTCTAGGTCAAATATAACCCCTCCTATTCTTTTTTTTGGTGGGGGGTACCAGGGATTGAACTCGGGTCCTTGTGCTTGCAAGGCAGACCACCAAACTGCTGAGCTAAATCCCCGGCCCCTAACCCCTCCTATTCTTATATGAACCACAGGCTAAAAACTGTTTTATGTTGTTAAATTGTCAAAATAAATAAGTATTTAGTACTCTGTGAGGCTGAGGCCAGAGGATCTCAAGTCTGAGTCCAGTCTTGGGCAAGTTAGCTTGTTTCAAAATTTAAAATTTTTAAAGAGGGTAGGGGGCTGGGAATGTAGTTCAGTGTGAAGACTTTAAATTCAATTCCCAGTACTGTAAATGAACAAAAGAAGAATACTTTGTGGCATATGAAAACTATGTGAAATTCAAATTCAGTGTCCATAAGATTTTGCTGGAAAAATAGGTATATTGATTGCAAATTGTCTACAGCAGCTTTCATGCTATGTAAGTCAATCTCCTAAGCCTAAGAATATTTATTATCTGGCCCTCTGTAGATAGTTTGCTGAACCCTGTTTTAAAACATCTCTTTGACATAAATATTCATTGTCATATAAATGCTATAAAACAATATTTTTGCTTTTTCCCTTTCTTCTAATACAAAATATAAGACTTTCCAGTACAAGACCTTTAGTTAAAATTTTTAAAAAAAATCTTAGAACCCTGGGCTTTGTTTTTGAAATGGAAAAGAAAAAAGTTCTTTTACAACGATTCCCAACATGAGCCCTGTTATTTCTAGGGGAACAAAAAGGAAGAAATGTGTTTCATGAGGTATTTTCAAAATTTAAAAACATGCCCTGCCTATACTAAAACATTTAGCTTTTTTGGCTAGAATTATAATTTAAAAATTATAATTATTATTTTGGTTTTTTTGAGACAGAGTTTTCTATGTTGTTTAGGCTCCTGTTTAAGTCACTGTATAGCCTATGCTGGCCTCAAACTCTTGGGAATGCTCTTGCCTCAGCCTCCCAAGTGTGGGACTACCAGTGTGTGCTATCACTCCTGGAAAAAATTATAAAAAATTTTATTCTACTAGAAATAGAACAGTCACATGTGGTGGCACATACTTGGGAGGCTGAGGCATGAGAACTGCCACAATTTCAAGGCCAGCCTGGGATATATAGTGAGTTCAAGGACAGCCTGAACTACTTAGCCAGGTCCTGCCTCAAAAATAAAAAAGTAGAATAAGTAAGGTGCTTCAGGTAGTGATGAAAATTTGAGAGTCATTGTGCTAATGAAATACTGTATGACAGGACTATAAATTAGTGGCAGAATGAGGTAAGAATGAACACTTGTAGAACACATTCTGAAAAGATGAGGGACACACATGAATACAGTAAATACACAGCCTTTTCCACTGTGTTTATAGCTAGTAACTACTGAGAGTCAATAGGGGAGCTCTAGGGAGAGGTCATTATGCGGCTCTCTGAAGCTATAGATCCTGTCAGCAAGTAGCTAAGATGCCACCCCAGCCACTGGATATACCCAGAAGTTATAACTGAGAAAATGTTTTACTTCAAGAGTAACTTGACTCTTCAATGAATCAGGAGTGCCTAACTCCTCCCATCATTCCCACTTACAACATGAGCTCTCATACTTACCAAGATGCATTAACAGTGTACTTAGTAAAATTGGCTTCCTTCTTTGGACTCCAAGTGCAAGTTAAATAAACACCATTTAAGACACATGAAATGTTCTCAGGTTTAGTTGGCAGGGCTAAAAAAAAAATCACACAAACACCATTTTTCTATACAATATTTGTATATAATACCAGCATTGAGTATTTTAAGGAAAATAGGCTGACCAATGCTAAATTAGTTGATTAGTTCTCCTAATCAGATTCATGAAAAGAATCTAACTCCATCTCTTCAATTATTCCTTTCAAAGAGCTGGATTTTTGCTTATTAAAAATACATTTTATATTCTTACTCAAAAGTAACATTTAAGAAGCAAAAATTATTAAAACATCAGGCAAATATTAAGTATTAGCAAAATCCAAAGTAAACCACCAACTGATAGAACTACTCTGGATAATTGGGTAATGGGTGATATGGGCATAAGAGAAAAACTTAAAGTGCTGGACTATGCCACACTTCAACTTTATGCATCAGTCATTTTCTTTTTCTGGAAGATTGTATATTAGAGAAATATCTTCACCTGTATTTTCATGTCTTGTTCCTGGTAGTTGCTTACTGCATCAGAAAAGCAAATACTACCCCCAGAACAGGAGGCTAGACCCTCAAAGAGTCCATAAGTAGAATTTAGGAGAGTATGAATTTTAATGGAAAATTTTTATCTTTATTTTATACTAACATATTGTTGAAATTTAGAATTCCCTTCTATCATGAACTTAGTCAACAAAATACTTTAATATTATCACTACTTATGACTTTACCATTAAAAAAACACAAATATTTTCATATTATGCTTTAGTTGCCTCAGATACCTTGAAATATAAAATATTATTCTTAATATCTATATTAATCATTAGACATCACTATTATTAGACTCAAGATTTCATAATTACTAGTTCTTCTTAGTGTGTTAAAAATAAATTACTATATCACAAATCTGTTTCTTTACTATTTTGATGATTTCATTTCATACACTTGGGTTTCTATGAAATCCTGTGCATTTTATTTTTGCATTTACAAACATTAAGAAGTGGTCCATAGGCTACACAATTGTGGAGTTTATAACAAACACAAAGACACACACATACATGAACATACACGCAATTAAGAATCGAGAACAGTTTTAGACTAAGAGCAATATTCAGCTCTAAGGCTCAAACTAACTTATTTTGAACTTTTGGCAAGAGGATAGTTTTAAGAAAAAACATATTTGAGAAAGGACGATAACTTATTGTTACTTTTACACATCAAAGCAAAGCTGTAGTGCTTCCTAGGAAGTCCCTACCAAGTGAGAAGTAGAAAAAAATCCCATCACTTATAGCAAGTAAATTATAGAGGAGAGCAGGAGAGGAAGGGAATGAACATGAGGTAGGACAAAGAGATCAGATGTCAGGGTTCTTGATAAAGCAGTGCAAATATGCAGATGGGTCTGATAAATCATCTGCGTTGTTAACCTATTTCATGCCAGGCACAGCTTGAAGAAGGTTTGCAGTCCTGTAACACAGTAGAAGTTCCACATGCTATTCAGCACTAACTCCAGCATGACACAGAAATCCTAACTGGCAGCCAGTGGCTGGGGAACTCCAGGTGAACTCCAACACAAGTGGGTGCAGCAAACAAGGATTCAGAAATTCCCCCATGCTTCAGGTAAGGATGGGAGAGACTTGTGAGATTGAAGTAGGCATGGGATCAGGGTGAAGGGGCTTCTGTACAGAGAGGGAATTAAGACCACAAGCAAACAACTTGGGCATGAACATCAAGAATGTTCACGGCAGTATGATGCCACAAAGTCTAGGTAAAGCCAGCTGCCCCAAAGCAGACAGCAGAAGAGAGACTGGACCACACAGGATGGCATAGGAAGAACCAGAGGGCAACAAAGTTGTTCCTGTGGATCCAGAAGCCCTTCCCAAGACACTGAATTCACATAAACCCTGCTTATAGACCAGATGCCATTTTTAAGGAGGAGCAGGGGAAAGGCAGGAACTCTGGAACAGTGAACTATTACCCTAAAGAGACAGAAACAAACACTTAGCCAGAAGAAAATAAGATGATATTCAAGAACGTCAGGTCTGCTTGACTTTCTACTGAGGAAAGAAATTTGAAGTCAATTAGCACCATGATACAAAATAAAGGTGTTCAGCTGAGGTTTACTGAGTTGAAAAGGAATAGTTCAGACCTTTCAATTTCTCAGTAACTCACTTGTATCTTTTCAGCACTTAACATCAGAAAGTTGTTTTTAAAAAATACATGGGGACCTAGCTTTAAGATTTTATATATTCTGGGATGCTATCAAGAAATCAACCAATAACAAACATTGGCAGGGTTGTGGGGAGAAAAGAACCCTTCTCTATTGTTGGTGGGAGAGCAGACTAGTGCAACCACTATGGAAATCAATATGGAGATACCTCAAAGAGCTGGGACTAGAGGTTCCATTTGACCCAGCCATCCCTCTGCTTGGTATCTTTCCAAAAGAATTAAAAGAATCATATCACAGTGATATATGCGCACCTATGTTTATAGCAGCACAGTTTGTAATAGCTAAAACTTGGAAACAGCCCATTTGCCCATCAGTTGGAAACTGGATAAAGAAGATGTGGTTTTTCTATAAAATGGAATACTACTCAGCCATAAAGAATGAGAAATTAGACTCATTCATAGGAAAATGGATACATATTGAGGATATACTCCTAAGTGAAATAAATAAGTCACACATGTGTAAATACCAAATAGTTTCTCTGGTGTGAATAAACTATATTAGTACATAAGATCCTAATGAGATAATTGACAATGTGAAATAGGAAGAAAAGGGCTAAAGGTGTGGGGAAAGTGGGAAGGGTAGGGGAAAGATAATAAGGGAAAAGAAAAATATATGAGAAAATGAAAAAATGGAAATAAAGTGTTTGTAAATGGGGAGGGGAGGAGGGAGCTAAGGGAGGGCAAGGATAAAGGGGAAAAACGAGAACCAAGATCTTTCATGTAAAGGTACAAGATCCCAATGATGAATGTAACTGTACTGTATACCTAAAATGTACCAATAAACTAAAAAAAAAAAGATGTTATATATTCTGAAACTTTTTCATGTTATAAAAGTACAATGAGCCTTACTAAATATAGTGTAGTGGAATAATAAAATCAGTTGCAGTCCACTGATTTACTTCATGATTGCCACACATTTACAGATTTAAAAACTGCACTTTAGAGATGTTTTTCCCTGAAGTAGAACACAAATACAAAATAAGATCTTGAAAGTTAAAATTGTACAATTAGCATTCTAACATTCTAAAAATTAGCAAAGCAGTAGTTAGTGGATAAATGGAAACAGAAATGTGTGTTTCTTCAAAATTTCCAACATGATCAGCAAACTGTTTTTACAAGAAGCCTCATATTATAGAATTGGGTTTGCACCTAATTTTAGAAATGTATTCCACAACTATTCCTCATTTCTCTTTGCTTTTCTCTCTGTTCCTCTTTCACCACACATATGTTGCCTGCATTAGTTTGTCTTCTTCAACTGTATATCCCAGACTATTAATATGGAAACAATGAACTGTGCGTGTAACCATTGTATCATATTCCAATGTAAAAAAGACTACATAATGAAGAAAAGACAATCAATAAATGGTACTGCAAACACTGGACATCCACATGTAAAAGAATAAAACTGAAATTTTATCTTAAACTATATACAAAAATCAATTCACATTAAAGACTTAAATAAAAGACCTGAAACTGTGAAATTAATAGTGGAAGAATAGAACCATTGGGTAAATGGTTCATACTGGTCTGGGAAAAGATTTTTTGGATATAAAATCAAAAGCCAAGGCAACAGCCAGATGTGGTGGTACACAGATGTAATCTCAGCACTCAGAAGGCTGAGGCAGGAGATGCTATGAGTCTGAGGCCACCCTGGGCTATATAGTTAGTTCAAGGCCAGCCTGAACTACAAAGCAGGGTGGTGGGGGGAGCAAGGCAACAAAACCAAAAATAGGCAAATAGATTAATCAAACTAAAAACTTCTTCTACACAGCCAAGGAAACAATCAACAAAATAACAAAAGAATTTGTCAACTATACATTTGGTAAGGGGTTAAATTCAAAATTTATAAGAAATTCAAACAACTCAATAGCAAGAAAAAAATAACCTTATTTAAAAATGGGAAAAATATCTGAATAGAAATTTCTTGAAAGAAGACATACAAACAGCCAAGAAGTGAATGAAAAAAAGTAGTATATCACCAATCACCAACAAAATTCAGTGAAATCACACTGAAATATTACCTCATTCCTATTAAAATGGCTATTATTAAGAAGAAAACAAAGATTACAATTTTTGGTGAAGGAACTCTTACACACTGTTGGTAGAAATGTAAATTAGCATAACATCATGGAAAAACAATATAGTGGTTCCTAAAAAATAAAAAATAGAAATACCACATGATACAACAATCTCATTAATAAATATATTTATGTATCCAAAGGAAAGGAAATCGGTATATTGAAGATACATCTACACTACCATGTTTACTGCAGCACTATTCAAAATAGCCAAGATATGAAATCAACCAGGGTGTTCATTAATGAGTGAACAGCTAAAAGCAATATGGTACATATACAAAACAGAATCCTACTTCACCATATAAAAATTGAAATTACATCATTTGTGACAACCTAGGTAAATATGGAGAACATTGTGTTAAGTGAAATAAACCAGGTACAGAAAGATAAGTATCACATGTTCTCATCTGAATGTGGAACCTAAAACACCTTATTATCAGAGAAGTAGAGATAGACTATGGTTACCAGAAGCTTGGATAGTTAGAGGGGAGAAGCAATAGGAAGATATTGGTCAAGAGATATATAATTCTAGTTAGATAATTAGTTAAATGTCCAAAATAGGGAAACATATAGTATGCTATGCAGTTAAGCCCTCACCTGTAACTGTGATCTTGACCTTTGGAGGTCATGTTTCTCTTTGAAAAAAACAATAGCCCATCTTACATTTGTAAAAGTATATAACTGAAATACAGGCATGCATTCAAACATGCACAAAAACACACACATTCAGGGTGTTCACAAATCTCCCATTGTCTCTATTTTTGAGGTTCATAGTCCAGATGTCTCTTTGCTCCAAAGTTAAAAATTATTGTCCAGTAAAGACAGTAAGAACAACATAATCTGTAAAAGTACCTAGGCTGACCTACCTGTCAGGCTGAGTTTGCAGAGTAAAGGGAATATCCACAGTGCCCAGATCCACATTGTTCCTGAATTAACTCTCAAGCCTGGAGACAGAACTGAAAATATAATCATCAAGAGATGGATTACTTCTTGTTTCTTTCCAACAACTCTATTCCACTAACAGATTCTGGGGACTTGAGGGGGAGAAAAGGTTTTATTTTTATCCTATCCTACACTATCCTATCTTACTGGATGTCATTATATAAATTCCTTCAGAATTACTCCCTCAACCCCAGTAAACAATTTTAAGATGTGCCATAACAATACATTTTCATTTTGCCCATAATGCACTCTACTATATAATATGAAACATACAACCACCACCATGAATATGCTCCAGGAAAAAAAGGGACTATGAGCCTGTAGAGATCTGAGACCATCCTCGGGCCTTTGCCTCAGCTCCCATGCACACCAACAAAATGCACAATTTTGTTTCTCAAAGTACCATACCATTTCACATTCTTCATGCTTTGTACATGCCCATAATGTCCCTTTCCCCTTGTGATGTTATATAGTTATATGTAGCGATATTACAGCTATAGCTATATAGATTGGTTTTTAATGCATGGTTCTTGGCTTATATCTCTTTCCCAAAGATAAGCCATAGAAACTAGAATTTATCTTTCCTGAGATAGGGCATAGAAATTTTAAACTTCTCCTGCCTTTCTGTCTTGAAGCTATCCCTAAAGAAATTATCTGACCTAGTGTTGTCTGATTGCAGGTCTTAAAACTCTTCTCATTCCAGAAGGGTCTTATCCCATATCCAAGAAGAAGAAATGGTGCATGAACAGGTCTTGCTGGGTTTCCTCACAATCATGCCCATGCAACAAAGTCTCCATAAAAACCCATAAGACAGGGTTCTAGCAGCTTCTAGGTAAGAGGACATGTGAAAGTTCCTAGAGGGTGGCAGAAGCTCCACACCTTTTTCCCATGTCTTGTCCTACATATCTCTTTATGTGTATCCTGTATAATAGCCTTTATAATGAATCAGTAAACCTATTTCTCCACCTGAGTTCTGTGAGCCACTGTAACAAATTAATTGAACCCAAGAATAGGGGTTTTGGATCCCCAATTATAATCAGTAAGTCAGAGGCATAGGTAAAATAGTCTGGGGCTTTCAACTGGCAAAAGTTGGGAGAAAGGGCTCTTAGGGACCAAGCCTCCAACCTGTGAGATCTAATGCTACTTCCAGGCAGAAAGCGTCAGAACTGAATTGTATTAGACAACACCACCTGGTGGGCAGGACTGACTGCTTACTTGCTGGTGGGAGCATCACCCATTCACTTGTTATGAACCATCTTCTATTCTGATTGTGTTGTAAAAATAGAGGAAAAAACAAGAAATTTTGTTTATCCTAATGCATAACTTTATCCTGACAAAGTAATCATCTTCCCAGACTCATCCCAAGGTCAACTTTTTCTAAGGCTTCCTCCCTGAATTTCATACAAAGCTGAGAAGTCACTCCCTCCCTTAGGTCCCACAGACTCACGTGTCGTCTGTGTTCTCACCCCTGTCACACTGAATGGTGCTTAGTCATTCACCTGCTGCCTTCTTCCAACACAGGCAAGTTTGTGAGAGTGGAGACTCTCTCATTCCTCTGAGAAGCCTTACTCCTCAAAGCAAAGCCTGTGCAGTAGAGATTTAATATTGTTTTATAATTTAATAGTTAATTAGAACAAAAAGACTGCTTGTTTCTCATCTCGTTGATGGTGGGAAAGTATAAGGATGAAATAAATATAAAGTAATAATTTATTTCAGGAAGAAATAAATGGTGCTAAATTTTCATCTGACAGATCATAAGAAAAAAGAGAATCAACAAAATAAGTCATTTCAGAAAAAGTGACACAACATCTCTGCAGATAATATTTTCTCATGTACAAACCCATTAGAATACCTCACTAAATGAAAATGCCAAAAGTAATAATGCGAACTTGGATCTATAACAATAAAACTATCAACAAAAAAATGGTTCATAACAGCAATAGTGAGTGCCCAATTTACACAGAATAGTTTTTCTCTCAAGAAATAGCCAACCTTGATTCAAATAAATACAAAACATAGTTTTAATTTGTCAATAAAGACTTTGTCTTTAAAAATTAATCATAACATTAATAGAGTTGGTATAGCTCAGTGCTTACTAGAGAAACAGATTTAATGCAGGATATACAAATAAATAAGAATTTACAAGACAGCCTTACAGTGGCCACCTGCAGAGTCAGGAAAGTGGAAAAGTTCCAAAGGCTGTCTGCATGCTAGAAATCCAAAGGATCCAGGCAAAGGCCTGGGGCTCAGAGTCCTGTGCAAGTCTGTATCAGGAGCTAAAGGGTCAGCAATAGAAGCTGAAGAGTCTGCACTGGATGCCAGGAGATGATGTCCAAAGGGAAGGTGAAGATGGAATCCCCTCTGAAGAAACAGAAGCGAGCCTTCCTTCTTTGTTTCCCTGTTATTCCATTCAGGCAACAAGCCTATTGATTGCTGTCACTCACACCCAGGATGGGTCTTCTGTCTTCAGTATTTCCCTTCATCCACACCCAGAACTATGCTGATCTAATTTAGCTGGGAATTTCTTACTCAAATTGACACAATCAGTTAACTATCACAGCATTCTTTTGTGTCTGTTCAGAAAACATCTTAATGTTCTCCAACTCTAATGCAGAAGATGTGGCCTTAGTCTTAGCTCCTATTACTTAGTTCTAAAAATATATTGGAAAGGGAGGGAGGCCCAACCATGGAAATTATGAAAGCAGGGATGCTGAAAGTCCCAATAATTAAATAGATGAATAATTATGGATGCTAAAGCTAAAATTGTTACTGACACATGGTTTTGCATTTTTAAATCTTTTTTATTAATTTTATTGGTATATTTAAGGTACATAATATGACATTCATCATTAGAAATTTGCATCTTTATATAATCCATCTTGGTTCTTATTTTTTCCTCATTCTCCTGCCCTTCCTTCAACCCCTCCACCTCTCCCTATCTACAAAGACTTTCTTTCCATTTTTTCATTTTCTCATGTTAATTCCATTCCCTTCTTTCTTTTCCCCTACCCCTCCCACTTTCCCTTTCCCTTTGCACCTTTTCTTCCTATTTCACATTATCTGTTATACCTTTTAGTCCTTATTTACACTTTCTGCATTTTAAATCTTATGCCTGTTAAAGATTAAAGAAGAAATGCACATATGAAAACATTTTCAGTTATTTGCTATTTGATTTCTTCATCATGAGAATACTCATTATTTGTGAAACTTTAAAAAGAAACTTAAAAGGTCGACAGCACTAAATTACTACCAGAGACAAAGCTGGAAAAGTTATAAAAGCTGAAGAGAGTAGCAACCTAGAAATGGAGACACTTGCAATCTAGTCCTAGTACTCTTATGAATTGGGGTAGGTACCTTAGGATTTCTTGGATTCATTCGGCACTGTTCCAGTTAAAAGTTAGGGACTGAGAATAAAAGAGCCCATCGCTGACTTCAAAGACCTTAGTTATAGCTCAGTAATTTTTAATGTAGGAAAGTGACAAAAGACAGAGGATGGCAGGAACTTTATTTTTTTCCAAACTACAAATGCTAGAGTGAGCTACTGTGTTACTGATGACCCTAGCATCGGGAAGAATTTCAAGAGGGCTTAAATAGAAAAAGGTTGAGAATCATAGTCTATCTGTAGAGATCAAGTTTGGACAGTAATCTCAAATATCACATAACAATTGCTATAATTGTAACCTTGAAGGAAGGAATAGAGCACCAAAGGAAAGAAATGAGCTCATGCTTGTGGAAAGCCAACAAGCATCATCATTACGATGTTGCCCCCTACTCTAATGCTTGCTTGTCCTCCAAGACACTTTTCTACTTTCTCCTTTCATACCACATTGGCAGGACTTCATTTGAGTACAGCATTTAGTAGAGGCTTAGAATTTTCACATGGCACTTTGAATACACTGAGCCCAACTGAAGGACTCAGTGATAACACTTCAGGTAATTGATGGTATCCCCTTCTTTAAGGACATAAACCTACTAGCAGCTACCATAGCAGTAGAATGACTGGAAACAAATTAAAGTTACAAATTATTGCTGGGCTGGAGACAATATAAGATAGAAAACAAAAGGGGGGAGCTACAGTCTGTCATAGTAGATGCTGCAACTTTTATCAGGTTAAATTATCTTTGCCTCTCCATATCCTCACTCATATAACTAATGTGAAGGAACTAAAGCAGCTGTATTACTCCCTAGCAACCCCCCCATTTCATGTTACCTGCCCCCAAGCATCTAGATGGTAAGCTTCACCTGATTCACTTATACAAAAATTCACAACCAGGCTTTCTTCTCCTTTGTTCAGAGACAGCCCAGCAGATCCTCCTCATAATAAAGGCTTGTTAAGGTCCTGATTTTCTGCTCCTTTTACCAGGAGGAAGGCAGCCATTAAGTGACAATCCCCCACAGGCTGGGGTCAATTAGCTTTTTGGCTGCCTCCTCCAGACCACATCTGCCAAGCCAGGACCTCCTTGGGGCTCTCTAGCTTTGCCATTGCTGAGGACTCACTTTCATTCCAGTCACTGATTTCAGGGTGAGTAGGTAGTTACCTCCCCTCTCCTCGGGTCCTCTGCCTCTTTCTCATTCTCGTTCCCCTTCTCTCCCTCTAGGGACTACTCAGAAATCCAAGTGCTAGGGCACAGAGACCCTCTCGAGCCACTGGGCCCCGAACCGTATCCCTGGGAGATGCCCCATTGGCCCAACTCCTCTCTTCTCCCCTTCTGGGGACTGACTTGGGGAGTATCAAAAGAGACAAAGACATTCCTCTCTTTTGCCCTCCTCCTAGGGAACTAACTCCCTCTCACCCACCCTAACATGGGGGCCCAACAATCCAAACTCCCTCCCTCTGAACAACTCTTGGCTGCCTCCCAGCACAACATCATCCCCTTGGACTGTTGGGGCCTGTCTGTAAACCAAAATGACTCATTTTTTATTGCAACCAAGTTTGACCTCAGTACAAATTAGATAATAAATCTCAGTGGCCCAAAAACAGCACTTTCAATTTTAACATACTGAGCAATTAATGCAATTTTTGTCAACACAATGGCAAATGGTCAGAAATCCCCTACCTACAAGCCTTCTTTCTCACCCCTCCCTCTGTCAAACTCCTTGGCCCTCTCAGGTACTTCTAGCCCTAACTCCATCGTCCACCCCTCCTGTTCCACCCTTCCATACTCGTTGCCTGAGCAACTCCCTCCCCCACACTGACCTCAGCCCAGACTCCAAAGTGACTACTTTTGATCCAATGGACCACTTTATTTTTTTTCCTCATTGAGTTTATTGGTACATTTTAGGTATATAGTATAGTTACATTCATTATTGGGATCTTGTACCTTTACATGACAGGTCTTGGTTCTCATTATTTTTTCCCCTTGTCCCTGCCCTCCCTTCACCCCTTCCTCCCCTCCCCCTTTACAAACACTTCTTTTCCATTTTTTCATTTTCTCATATTTTTCCCTTATTAGCTTTCCCCTTCCCTTCCCACTTTCCCTACACCTTTAGTCCTTTAGTGGACCACTTTAGAAAAGGTTGTCCTGCCTGTGAGGCCCCTCTTGGTCTTCCAACATATTGTTTATGACAATAACCTTTTGAACCAGGTAATTCACCCTTCTCTTCTGCTCCACCGACTCATGAGTACAGGTACATTTATAAGCCCATACATTTCCCTTAGATGGCATCTCATCAAAAGATAACTTAAATAAGAGTTTCCTTTTTTATGTGTTTTTAGAGGGGAATAAATACATTTAACAATGGCTATTTTATACTAAGATACATATCTTTACAAAGTTAACATCCTCATGATTGTCATGCTAAAATATTGTTATGTGTGGCTACTGATTCAAAGTTTTTTCTGTTAATATTCTACAGGAAATCAACTACTAGAACAACCATGATTGATAAAAATAACAGTCCACTAACTATATTTTAGATTCCAGGATGCTTGCTATCCAGATAAAGTTATGATAGTTAAGCCCATTGCTCCTACTGTACTACTGATGTCATTGATCTTTTCTTCTGGGTGTTCAACCACCAAAGGACAGAGACCAACACTGGAAGGCAACTGGGATAATAAGACTACAAATATTTGGAGATTTCTGGACACCAGAGGACAAATTTAACATGTGTCAAAAGAGGGTCACCAAGAAAAATGTCTCCCATGCTTTCACTAAAAGCAACTTGGTCAAGCAAGGCCTATGACCCATCTTAATGGCTGACACTGACAGGAGCTGAGAGGCTCTATGCATGTTCCAAAATAATGCCTAAAGAGACTTAACTGACCTTGACAGATAGCAAGATGTTCATATTGATTAACACAGGTCTTACTTTGACCTGGTCTTAAACACACAGCAGAATAACCAAAAGAGGCAGTCAACAAACAGGCACTAGCAATAGAGAGGCCCACCACTCCACCTCCCTATAAAAGGATAGATCTCCAAGTGGTAAACCAGATAACCCAGTCTCAAAAAAAGCTACAACGACTAATACCACCCTCCACTACCTCCCTGCAATATCTCAGACTGTTGGATGTGTATGTCCATTTACCCCTGCTTGTTCACTCCAATTTCTGCCCCTCTGGATTTTAACCTGTCTATCTCAAATATTGGCAATTTATTCACAGTTCTGGGACTCTTTGCCTCAGGTTCCCCATTCCCCACACAAACCACTAACCTGACATGCACGGAGCAAAATAATAACATCACTTGCCTTGCTTGCTCCCTCTTTATTTTAGAAGAGTGTCTGATCTGCTGTCCAATGGCATGTACTGCATATGTAATCAAGAGGCATTCTGAGGTGTCAATCAGTCTGATGTTTTCTGTAGCACAGCCTTCCTTAGCCCTCCCATGATCATTTATACAGAAGCCCATATATCTAAACAAGTTCTCCCACATGAACACAATCAGAAAAAGGGTAGCTCCCCTTCTAGTCCCCTTCTTAATGGAAGCAATGGTCCTCACTGGGATGGCAATGGAGAGAATGGGCATTTCTACATCCACACATTTCTATCAGGCCCTGTCCATAGAGATTTCAGAAGACATGGATAAAATAAGCCAGTCCTTAAATAAAGTACAAGATCAAATTCTTTAGCAGCATTCATGTTACAAAATAGAAGGGCCCTTGGCATGCTGACAGTGGCCCAAGGGGAAAAATGCCAGGTGCTAGATAAAGAATGCTATTATTTTGTTAACCAGTCAGGGATTGTTAAAGAAAAGGTTAAAGAAGTACAGCAGCTCATCGAAGAGTGAAAAAGATGATAGAATTATTGGGGAATAGACCAGAGCTATTCCTGGCTTCCCCAAATTGTGCTTTGGCTACTTCCTTTTTTTGGGCCCACTGGCTTGTATATGCTTTTTAATCATGGTAGGGCCCTGTCTGCTTCACTGTTTTCAAAATTTCTTGCAGGAACACATGAGGGCATTTAGCAATCAGACAGTCACGGAACTCATCATGATGGGGTACTGGTCACTGCGGCAGAGGGAAGAAACCCCTGCCTACTGCTGCCCCCATCAGATCCAGGTTTAGCCCCAACCTTCACCTCTTTGTCAGCTTGAAGCAGCTCCAGGAGACCTTCTACCAATAATCATAAAACAAAAAGCCTGGAATGTTAGATTTCCCTTGCCTTAAAATGGCTGCCACATGGAATAGCAGCCTCCATGTTAAAAGATGGCTTCTCCCAACAAAGGACTTCTCCCATCATGCTTCTTCTCCCACCAAAAGAGTAACCTGCTACTTGCTACCTCCTAGCAGCTACTAATGTCACAAGCCCGTCCTAGTGATGCCACAGGCTCCCCCAATCCTTAGCCACTACATCACTCAACCCCATCCACTCCTATAAAAGAAGCTCCCTGTGCTACCATGTTGCTTTTTTCTCCTTTGTTCAGAGATAGCCTGGCAGATCCTCCCCATAATAAAGACTTTTTATGGTTTAAAAAAAAAATCACCACCATGTGACTTTCCCAGGGCTGGCTCTACTTTCTTTCATTTGGTCATTTACATAACCATTATTTGTTGATGCCCATGTTATGCAAGGCACAGTATAGTGAACCTGTAAACTAAGTCCTACTGGTCTTTGAAAAATTCTGAGGGACAGAATGAGGTTTGTCAGATTGCAGCTTGCTGCTCCCTCACCCCCTCTCCTAATATTAGGTACTTGAATCTATGGTCACAGTGCTGTCTCTAAAATTTAGTCCCTCTTTTTTTCCCATTCTTTAAAATACTATCTCATACTATGAGAAACAAGCAGCTAGCTGCCCAACCAGTTATCCCCTCAGAATTCCTTATAGACTAAAAGGATTTGGCTTATAGTTTTATTTTAATTGGTCAAATAAAAGGGTCCTCTGTTCTCGTTTTCTTTTAAATGTTGATTTGCAGCCTGCAATAATAATTGTAAAAATAATGTTCTGAGATTACAAAGCTTTTTCGCAAGTATTTTCTTATTATGTCCTTTCTGACCTTCGAAGTAAACAGGGCAGATATTTTTATATTTGTTTATATTTGTGTATTTTATATTTAATTTGTCCTTATATTTTGGGTTACAAGTTACATGAAATTGCCACTTTCATAAATCAAAAACAGCCAAGTACTGGCAATTTCATCCAATAAAACAATAGTGTCTTCACTTTTTAGATGAGGATATTGAGTATATACTCGCCCAAAATTAGATTAAGAGCTATCAGATAACTACCTGCCATTCTAATGGCTATAATAAACCCATTAGGGATATGGACTGCTTTCAAACAAAGAATATTCTAGATGGCCAGAAACAAGATTGGCAAGAACACAACCATGTGGTAAAAGAAAAAATCTATCAGGGTCAGGGATTTAGCTCAGCAGTGCTGTGCCTGCCTAGCAAGCACAAGGTCCTAAGTTTGAACCTCAGTACCAAAATGAAAGAAAGAAGAAAGAAAGAAAGAAAGAAAAGAAAGAAAGAAAGAAAGAAAGAAAGAAAGAAAGAAAGAGAGAGAGAGAGAGAGAGAGAGAGAAAGAAAGAGAGAGAGAGACAGGGAGTGAGCCTATCAGTGGTAATTATATCTTTTTCCTTTAAAAAATTCACCGTAGAGTTAGTATATTGTCTCCACCTCACCTATATAAATATCCTGAGCTATATCATGTAAATAGTGAAAAAAAATAATAGTTTATAAGAAGCATTAAAGGATCAAATCATGGCTGCATGATTCCAAAATGTAGATTCTCCACCAAAACCATATGATAGCTTAGTGATTTATCTTCTCTCAATGCTCCTACCAGTAAACACCAATAACCATAATGATTTTCCTCTGACTCTCCTGTCTACTTTTCTCTAGGCTAGAGTTTCCTGAAAGATAAGTTCACTATGTTCAGACATTTCCCCCAACTCCTTTCCTCTAAACTTCATGACTCACCATCCCCAACCTAGCATTTAAATATGTAACTTGTTAAAAGAGTAGATTCCTAGGGGTCAGGGATTTAGCTCAGTGGTTCTGTTGCCCACCTCACAAACACAAGGTCCTAAGTTCAATCCCCAGTACCAGAAAAAAAAAGAGTAGATTCCTTGTAACTGGCAATAATCAATCTAAGGAGTAATTCATGTCTCAGGTCCTGATCCAAAATTTCACTGAAGAAGACAGAATAAGACTCTCACATAGTAGAAAAAGAAGATTTGGGTGTTACTCTTCTAAATGAGATGGCACTCACCTTTCGGGTAATAGGATGGTATCCCATGGATGCCCTACTGGTTCAAAAGATCTCCCTCAAAGGCAACTCTAACCCCTCCAACACAAGCCAGGACAGAGAGGATGATCTGGACTTTATCCTCACAAAGATGGCTATTTCCTCTCTCCTTGTCTGAAGGCTTTTCATTTGCTTTTAAGCCCAGCCCAATTCAGAGTAGCACTTACCCATTTATGATGGGAAATGGACTGCATTCCTGTACTGAAACAAACAAACAAACAATAAATAATCATCTGCATCTGTTATAGCACTCAAAGAAATGACTAAATTTTAAAGTTTATTCAAGAAGTCCACGTGGCAAAGCATGAAATGCTGATAGTATTTTTAGCTTTAAAAAAGAAATATGCAGCCAGATAATTACCTTTGACCAGTGCCTTCTTAGCACAGCAGGTAATTAATTACTTTTAAACAAATGAACTAAAGGAAATAAACAATGGTAGCTACTTCTAAAAATACACTTATAATTGTTATTTTTAACTAAAAGAAAGTTCACTGCACTAAGGAGTAAAGAACCCCAACTTAGCCAATAACAATGATAATAAAAATAATATGTGGACAGGGGATTTAGCTAAGTGGTGCTGCTGCCTGCCTCACAAGTGCAAGGTCCCAAGTTTGATCTCCAATACCAAAAATAAATAAAAAAATAACAATATGTGAAACTCTTACTATGACTCAGGGATAATAAGAGCCTTAAATTAATTATCTCATTTAATCCTATGACATTGAAGTAACTTTATCCCTATTTTACATTTAAAGAAACTAAAGCCAAAACAATTGGGATAGTCTCCAAAGTAGCAGAACCAACTATGAGTCAAGGGAGCCTGACTCTGTTTCTATAAGCAAAGTGTTAAATTACACGATTACTGAGATTCCTTTGAGTATTACAGTTTTTGCGACCTTTTGTAACTGTGTGAACAAATATGAGAGCTAAAAATCCATGAGGAAACCCAGTCACAAGTCCCTTTGTAACTTTCACCACCAGGAGCAATAAAACAAAGTTTTCCCATCACCAACTGGAGGAAAATCTCTTCAGTCTTCTGCCATGGGGAAGGGAAGTGTAACCATTTAGATATACACAAGAACATTCTATTCTTAACAAGGCCTGCACTCAATAGAAACTACTTCACCAGAGCCTAACATAATAGGAGAATGGAAATATCCAAGTACAATCTCATCTAACCATTTTGTACCTCTAAGGGGGTTAAAAAAGATGAAGAGGGCCTGGGGATTTATGCCTGCCTTACAAGCTCAAGGTCTTGAGTTCAATGAGGGGCAGGGCACAAAAAGAACCTAGAATCATTGTAAAGCTCACAGTCCATGGGGTACAGGCTCATCAGAAGATAGGCCTAATCCTAGAGCTATAGAACACATCGCCTCCCCACCCTACCCACACCCAACCACTACATCACTAAAGGCTTATTTAATGCATTTACTTTTACCTAGCACATCATATCTGCCTTTCAACAAAAATTGCAAAGCATGCTAAAAAGCAAAACATGTAGTTTAAAACAGACAGCGCAACCAGACCAATCTGGCAAGGATCCTAGAATTATCAGACTATGATTTGAAACAACTATGATTTTTTAAAACAAAATTCACATTTTATTTAGATTGAAATAAACTATACAGAATTTTCTTCACCAAAATGAACAGCAATATTTTCTCTATTATTTCTAGATAAGCCACAAAACATTCATTTTGTAGGTTAAAACAACCATGATTAATTTGTTAAAGGCTCTAATGGAAAAAGTTGAAATATATGAGAACAAACAGTATATGAAAAGAGATGGAAATTCTGTTGTTGTTGTTGTTGTTGTTGTTGTTGTTGTTGTTGTTGTTGTTGTTGTTGTTGTTGTTGTTGTTGTTGTTGTTGTTGTTGTTGTTGTTGTTGTTGTTGTTTTGTGGTGCTGGGGATCAAATCCAGGCCCTTACACACACTAAGCAAGTGTTCTACCATTGAGATATGTCTCTAGCCCAAGACATGGAAATTCTTAGAATAAAAAAGAAATGCTAGAAATCAAAACACTGTAACAAAAACAAAGAATCCCCATGAGTTTCTAGCAGAACATTTATTTTAACTGAAGTTTTTGCTTGCTATTTTCTTATTGACATGAGTATCTTCTACCTTTGTCTTTTAATACTCAAATCATCCAGATTCTTTGTTATATATCTTGTTAAAGTGAATCCATTCTCTATATGACTAGTCTATTTCTAGATACAGCTACAAAGACAGTTTGGCAGTAAGCAATGGATATGACAGAAAGTGGAGAGATAGCAGTAGATCTCCAGAAAGAAACTGAACTCTAAAATGAATATCATGAAGAAAGGTTACCTTGCACACATGATAGAGGGGAATGTGATTGTTTATCTTCTCAGAATTAAAGATGGGCTTGAATATAGATACATTTGTAGATGGAAGTGCTTTCCTCCTGACAGCCTCCGTCTCCCCTATGAAATAGGATAAATGTCTTTCTGCTAAAATATCTAAGGACAGTTGTAATGTTTTGAAATAGCTAATGAGAGAAATGTTCTAGGGACAAGATCTTGCTAAGAACAAGGACTGCTGAGTAACATCCAGGATCCTAGATTGCTAAAGAAAGGAACATTCTTTGATTTAGAATGTTCCTTTCTTTTTCAAAAAAATCTCATATTTCTGCAGCACCCACCTGAAAACTTTAGTTTTTTGATATTAAGTGAATAGAACTATGGTGTTAGATCAAAGCCTATTCTCCTGGCACTGCCTTAGAGTTTGTAAATATATTTTTGTTACTATAGTGACTCCCTCCCCCTTCCTGTTGTAATAATCACAGCAATAGCTAATTACACAGCAATCTGTAAATTAACCAAAACCCTTAAAACTATAATAGCAGACTTTCTCATCCAAGATACCTATATGAACAAAAAGAAAATATGTTACTATTCATTTTTCCAAGAACAGAACATAATTGATACCATTTAATTGCACAGAAGCTCATTTCATATCATATACAACAAAACTATAAATAATGGTTGGGGGCATTAGACTTAAGTCTCCCACACAACACCCCATAAGGGTAAGCAGAAAGGGCATTCAGAAATACTGAATTCTGAACAACTGCAATATTCTTGAAATTCATGTGTGATCATATGAACAGATGCCTTGATGGATAATACTCTTTCAGAGGAATAAATTGATTTATTTTCAAACAAATCTTTAAACTGTATAGTTATTCTTTCTATAATTCTCATCTCCAACTCCATGCCTTCAGGAAGCAACATTCTCATTTTCAGGGATTGGTAATTAACAGGTTAATCACAGAACATAGTTGCATTTCCCTTACCTCAGAAAAGAAAATTGAAGTGACAAAACCTCTGTGCACACAATTCCACTTTGGTAAGAACAGTGATGCAAATAAGTTACTGTACAGGGGTTTTCTTAAATCCCCTTTCCTGAAACATATTCACTTAAATTCTTTTCCAAGGGAATATAAATAGACTCCATTATATTATCATGCCAAGCACTAATGTAGTGTCACTCTCTGGAAACTCCACAAGCTTTTCAAACATTTGCCTCATTATTTACTCTTCAAATATCTGTCTTTGAATGAAAAAATAATGGCAAATTAATTCCTGGAAACTAGCATCACCCTGATACAAATGGAACAAGGACTCAACAATAAAAACTACAGGCCAATCTTCTTAATGAACAGATGCAAAAATGTATTAACAAGATACTGGTAAACATAATGTAACAATTCATTAAAAAGATCATATATCATGACCTTGTTGGCTTCATCCCTAAGATGCAAGGATGGTTCAACATGTGTAAATCAATACATTTAATATATTAAATAAATAAATAGGAGCAAAGATAAAAATCACAGTTATCTCAATAGATGCAGAGAGAGCCTTTGACAAAAATCTAACATTTATGACAAAAACTCTGAAGAAAATCGGTATAGAAGGACCTTACCTCAAACTGATAATAGCCATTTATGACAAACCCACTGCCAACATCATACTAAATGGGAAAAACTAAAAGCTATCCCTTTAAAATAAATAGATAAGGATGTCTACTATAACCACTCCTGTTCAATGTGGTACTCAAAACTTTAGCCAGAGTAATCAGGCAAGAGAAAGAAATAATAGGGATATGAATAGGAAAACAGTAAGTTAAACTACTCTTATTTGCAGATTACACCATCCTTTTATAACAGATTCAAAAAACACTACCAGAGGACTCCTAGAACTAATCAAATCAGCAAAGTTACAGGATACAAAATCAATACACAAAAATCAATAGTATTTCTGTGCACCAACAATGAACACACCAAGAAAGAAATCAGGAAAACAATCCTATTCATGTTAGCTTTTAAAAAATGAAATATATAGAAAGTAATATGACCAAGAGATTGAAAGACCTCTATAACAAAACACTAAAGTTATCTGAAGGAAAAAAAAAGAGATTGAAGAGGACATTAGAAAATGGAAAAATATTCCATTTCTGGACAGGCAGAATTAATACTGTCAAAATGGCTATATTGCCAAAATGACATATAGATTTAATTCCAATCAAATACCATTGCTCTTCTACACAGAACTAGGAAAAAAATTCCTAATATTTATAAGGAATTAGGAAAGCCAGATAAGCCAAAACAATCCTGGGCAACAAGAGCAAAGCAGGAGGCATTACAATCCTAGATTTCAAGTTAGACTGCAAAGCTACAATGATAAAACAGCATGGTACTGACACAAAAATAAGCATGTTGACCAGTAGAATAAAACTGAGGAGGCAGAAACAACACCAGGCACCTTCAGCCATTTGATGTTTTACAAAGGGGCCCAAAATAAAGATAGCCTCTTTAATAAATGGTGCTGAAAAACTGGTTATTCATATGCAGAGGAATGAATCCAGACTCATGTCTTACCCTATACTAAATTCAAACCAAAATCAAAGACCTAGATGTAAAAATAGAAACACTGAATTTTCTGGAAGATAAGATAGGTAAAACATAGGTAAAGGTAAGGACTTCCTGGACACAATCCAAGTTGCCCAAGGAATAACAAAAAGCAATAAATAGGACGTCAAATAAATTTGCACAGCAAAAGAAATAACCAACAGCCTAAA